ATTTTCTGAGGCTTTTTCTGCATCAATTTAGATGAATTTTTTCCTTCATTCTGTTAATGTGATGTATGACATTAACAGAGTTCCAGATGTTTCACCATGCTTATTACATTCTGGGAATAAACCCCATTTAGTTGTGGTGTATAATTCTTTAATGTGCTGCTGAACTTGATTTGCTAATATTTTGTTGGGAATTTTAGTATCAGTGTTTATAAAGAGAGTAGTCTGTATTTTGTAGTAGTTTCTTTTTTTTTTTTGACTTTGGCATTAAGAGAATGGTAACTCATAGAGTGAGTTAGGAAGTGTTCCCTCCTCTTCAAGTATTTTAGAACAAGGTGAGAAATTTTGGTTCAGTCCTTCTTTAAGAATTTACTTGTAAAGCCATTGGGTTCGGTGTTTTTCTTTGTCAGGAAATTTTTGATTACTGACTTAAAGAGTTGTTTGTATTATTTCTTCATTATGCTTTTAAAGTATATGGGGTCTGTATAGATATTATCTCTTTCATTCCTGCTTTTGATAGTGTTTCTTCTCTCTCTCTCTCTCTCTCTCTCTCTCTCTCTCTCTCTCTCTCTCTCTCTTCTGGCTATATTTCCATTGCTTCACTAATATTCATCTTTTCAGTGAACCAACATTTGGTTTCATTGATTCTCTGGAAGAAGAACAAACGTGCATTCTGATCCTGTTGGACGGGAACCTTATAAATGTCAGTTCAAGTTCTTCATAGCATTGTTCATTGGTTCTCTATCCTTGCCGGTTTTCTAATTACTGATAAAGCAATGTTGAAGTATTCTAATGTAACTCTGGGTATCGAGGGATGCCTGTAGTTAAGTTTTGGGAAGTCAGAAGTTACACTGGAATTTTTGACTGCACAGGGATAGGTGCCTCCTAACCCTGAAGTTGTTCTAGAGCCAGTCGTACTACATATGTAATACAAGGATCTCACCATGATATATTCCCAATATCTCCCTCCCATACTCTTTGCTATTGTTATCCAAATTCTTCTGTTAGAGAAGTACTATTGTTGCTCTAGACTGGAGATTGGCAAACATTTTCTGTAAAGGATCAGCTAATAAATACCTGGGTACTTATTAATTCGTTCTGGAACTTGTTGAGGAGTGCTGAAACCAATGAGTGGAGAACAAAGGATGAATGATGAAGCATTTTCTCTTATTGGGCAGTGTCGTGACTGATACAAGTTCCAGCAAGCATGATGAGTCCCAAGCAAACACTGAGGGCTGAAACATTTTCTTCTCATCAAAATGCAGTGAGCTCACTGTCTGGCTTATTTCGCTTAGCATAATACTTTCCAGTTTCATCCATGCTGTTGCAAAGGGTAGGAGCTCCTTCTTTCTTTCTGCTGCATAGAATTCCATTGTGTAAATGTACCATAATTTTTTTATCCATTCATTTACTGATGGGCATCTAGGTTGCTTCCAACATTTGGCTATTGTAAATTGTGCTGCTATGAACATGGGGGTGCATAGGTTCTTTTGGATTGGTGTTTTAGGGCTCTTAGGATACCATATGATCTCACCTTTGACAGGATCCTAAACAACAAAACCAAGAAACAAGCAAAATATAACCAAAGACACTGAAATAAAGAACAGACTGACAGAGTTCAGAGGGGAGAAGAGAGGGAATTTCAGGGGAAAAGGGAAAGGGTTTACAGGAACCGAGTATAAGGACACATGGATAAAAACTAGGGATGGGTGGAAATGGGAGGGAGGAGGGGAGGGTTGGGTGGGTGGGTTGGGATGGGAGTAAAAGATAGAAAATTGTACTGCAACAACAATTTAAATAAAATTTTAAAAAAAGAAAAAAACACTTTCATATATAAAAAAAAACTGCAATGAGCTCAGGGTTTGATGAGGTCCAAAGTCTACGAGTACCTAGGTGTGACTGTAATTTTGTTTTTAGCGGCCACATGTTCTCTTTACCATCACTTAACTCTGGCATGGTAGTGTGAAGGTGCTCATAAGCAGTATGCAAACAAAGGTACAGATGACTTGTCTTGCTGAGGGAAAGATTTGGCTTGTGAGCCATAGTTTGCTGACAGCTTTAAATATTTATCTAGTAAAGCAATTAAAAGTAAAAAACAAAAACAAATTTTACCTTCATTTATTACATTTCCAGTGTTCCCCATTTTTTATAGAAGATCTCAGTATGTCTGATATCAACCTTGTTCAGCCTCAGAATTTTCCTGTAATATTCATGTAGTACAGATCCACTTGCAGTGAATTCCTTCAAGTATTGTATTTGATATTTTGAATGTTATATCTGCTGCAGAATTGTCAGTGAGCAGGTTTGGGGGGATTTTGTTTTCTTTGGAATTTTAAAAATGTTATGCCATTTTCTTCTGCCTTTCATGGTTTTGAGAAGAAGTATGCTGTAGTTTTTAAAAAATCATTTTATATGTTAATTTTTCTTGTATATATTTGTCTTTCACTTCAAGATTTTTTAATTTTTAGTAGTTTAAATTCATTATTTTTTGTATTTATCCTTCTTTGTATTCTCTTAGATTTGTTGCTTGTGTCTGTCTTCAACTTTTCAAAGTTCTTAGCAGCAATTATTTCTTCAACGATACCTTCCGCATGTGAGTTTCCAATTATAAGTGTGTTACAACTGTGATGCAAGAGATGTTGGATGTGTTGTTTTGTGTGTGGGGGGGGTGGTTTACTCCAATCTTTTTCTTCATTACATTTCATTTTGGTAACTTCTCATATGACTTGCCAGAAGTTACCTGACTTCTCACCTCTGTTGAGTCAGTTCATGAGTCTGTTGAAGGCATTCTTCATCTCTTAAATGTGTTTTTCATTTCCAGCATTTCTATTTGATTCTTACAGTTTTTATCTCTGCAGTTTTTCACCTGGTTTTATATATTGGCTATCTTTCCCATTAGATCCTCTGTCATTGTAATCATAGTGATTTTATGCTCCCTGTTTAATGACTTGAACATTTGTTTCATGTCTGCATCTGGTTCTATTGATTGCTTTCTTTTGGCAGTGAGTGGTTTTTCGTGTTTTTATGTGCCTTGTAATTTTTCATATCATTTTGTATCATGATAATAGTATTTATGTCTAGAAATGGGCTTGCCTTTCTCTCTGATAAATTTTTAGTTTGAAAGAATGTTTGAGATATTTTAAAGAAGTATTAAGTTCCCTGTATGTAAAAGAAGTTATCACAAGCTCTGTGGAGTTAAAGATATCTAAATTCATTTACTATTTTATTATCTTCTCGTTGATTTTTTTATGTAATTATTCTTGGGGAGATCTTACTCTGTGTAATGCATTCTTTCATTTATACTTCTTTAAAACAGACTTTTACGTTATGAACTGAATTTATTCCCATTTTACACATGTAAAAACTTAAGTAAAATGATATATATAAAGGTGAACCCCTGTCAAATGACATAATTGGGACTTGATTCTCTGGGTCATCTAATTTCGTATCTTTTTTAACTATTATCCTGTTTCAATGCATTATTTAACTTAATGGGGGAAAATTGAGTATCAATTATATTGAAGGTCCTGTGATAAGTTTTATGCAGGAATGACACCACCAATATGACATGCTGTGCATATAATACACTAATATTCTAAGAATGGATTTCAAAGCGTATCACTTTTCATTAAGCAAGTGTAATGGTAGAAATACATAGTAATAGGTCTTATTTACAAATGATACTTGGTTGATACCTTTTAGAGGAATCTTTCTGGTTACTGTGCAGGATTACCATTGTAAATGGTCTAACCATTTTCAGGTTAGAACCATCATTGGCTTGGTTCCTAGGATATTGTTTTTGTAGACCTCATGAGTGACATAGTCATTAGCATTATACAGCAGGTCCTCAATAATGTGTTTTGTTTTGTTTTGTTCTGTCTGGTGTCTTCATTATAACAATGATGAGATGCCATAGTATTGCCAGTGGAAATACGATTCTTCCATAGAGTCATAAGCAAAGGATTTTGGGATTCACTTATAGGAAGATATGAGCAATAGTGGCAAGATTTATTGGAACAGAAATAAAAGAGTGCCTCCAGGTGCCAGTGTCTCATCCCAAACCAGGTGGCTCAGCTCCATCTTGCTGCAGAAGTGCAGGGCCTGGTGAGCACTCACCAGGAGGGTCAGAATCCAGAACTGTAATGCCACCACCCTGGGCTCTGGTGCCCAGCATAGTCTCTGCTCCCAGCTGTACTCTGGCCTGGCCTGCCCCACACTTTAGCTCAAGTGGCTGATAGAAGAAGAGAGAACAGGCAAAAGAACGAGACTTCAGCTTTTGTTAAGCTTTGATTATATTACCTTGGGCTTGGGAAGGAGTAAGCTTGCTTTCTTTTTTAAAAAAGATTTATTTATTCATTTTTAGAGGGAAAGGGAAGGACAAGAAGAGGGAGAAAAACATCAGTGTGTGATTGCCTCTCACCTGCCCCCTACTGAGGACCTGGCCCACAAACCAGGCATGTGGCCTGACCAGGAATTGAACAAGCAACCCCTTGCTTCACAGGCTGGTACTCAATCCACTGAGCCACACTAGCCAGGGCAGCTTTTTTTCAAACTAACCAATCTTCTTTCTAATTCTTTGTGGGCTGTGCTGGGCCCTCCCCCTATGTGTAGCAAATGTACCACACAAATGCAAGATGTTAACAATAGAAACTGTATGTGGGATGGAGAGGGATTGGGTAGAAGGAGAGTATATGGGAACTCTGTACTTTCTGTGCAGTTTTTCTATAAACCTAAAACTTGTTCTACAAAGTAAGAACCTATTAATTAAAAGTTACTGATGCCTGTTAAAGAGTTGATAAAATTGGCTATACAAAATATCTAAAAACCATAGGTAGTATCTAACTAATGTAACAATAATGTTAAGATTTTTCTTCTTCATTAAAAGTTTAATTCTTATTCTGTTCCTCCCCCTACCTTTTTTAAAAAATGAATACCTATAGTTGTTCCTGTTTCTGTATTCATTTCTTTGTTTTTGTTTTGTTTTTTTTTTGGTCTTTTGTTAGGTGTTCTAGCTCTATCTTGGTATCCACCCGGGTTACATGATGAGAATGGAATACCTACTGATGACTTGGTACCAACTATTTTGGATAAAGCTCATAAATATAATCTAAAGGTATTTTATTCTGTGTATGTTACTTTTTATTGAAATATAATTGGCATGTCACTTTATATTAGTTTCAGGTGTTCAATATTATCTATTTCTATATCTATATATATATAAACAACCATCATAGTAAGTCTAGTTAACATCCATGACCATATAGAATAACAATTTTTTTGTCTCCTGATAAGAATTTATAAGATCTGTTCTCTTAGCAGCTGTACAATGCAGTAGTATTAATTAATAGTCACCATGTTGTACTTTACATCCTAGGACTTAACTAATTTTATGACTGAAGTTTGTACCTTTTACCTTTACACATTTTACTCCACCCCCACCTCAGGTTCTTTATATATTTTGGATATTAACCCCTTACCAGATATATTGTATGATTTGCAAATATGTTCTCCCATTTGGTAGGTTGCCTTTCATGTTGTTGATGGTTTCCTTTGCTGTGCAGAAGTTTCTTAGGTTGTTGTTGTCCCATTTTATTTCATTTTTCTCAAGATATTTTTAAACTTATTTTCAGGTTATTTTTCTAACCAGTGGTTGTACAGTAGCATGTTGTTTAATCTACACATACCAGTATTTGTGAGTTTTCCAGTTTCCTTTTTATAATTGATGGCTACTTTTGTACCATTGTGGTCCAAAAAGATGCTTAACATGATTTCACTCTTCTTAAAATTTTTGGGACTTGTTTTGTGGCCTGGAGAATATTCCATGTGCACTTGAGAATGTGTATTTTGATTCTTTTGGATAGAATGTTCTGTATATATCTGTTAATTGCATCTAGTATAATGTGTCATTTAAGATCAATTTCATCAATTGATGAAAGTGGGGGATTAAAATCTCCTGCAATTATTTTGGTTCTGCCTATTTTACCTTTTAAGTTTTTTAATGTTTGCTTTTTATATTTAGATGTCCGTGTATTGGTTGGATAAATAATTAGAAGTGTTAATTCTCTTATTGGATTGACACCTTTATGTATTGATCTTCTTTGTCTCTGATTACAGACTTTTCTTAATGTTTATTTTGTCTGATATAAATATAACAACTCATGCTTTCTTTTGGTTTCCATTTGCATGGAATATCATTTTTTATATCCTCTCATTTTCAGACTGTGCGTGTCCTTAATCAAAAGTGAGACTTTCATAGTTAGTATATAGTCTTTTATTTTTTTTAATTCATTCAGACATTCTATTTTTTTTAGAGGGAGCAGAATTTAGCCTATTTATACTTAAAATAGTTATTAATAGGTATGGAGTTTTGCTGATTTAATTGTTTTATAGCTTTTTGTAATTTCTTTGTTCTTTGTTTTCTTGCTCTCTTCCCTTATGATGTGATGATTTTCTATTCTAGTAGGCTTATATTCCTTCCTCTGGGTTTTTTGTGTATCTACTATAGGTTTTTACTTTTTGGTTATCTTGAGGCTTCTGTAAAACAACTTATATTTGTAAGAGTGTATTTGGTGATAACAAATTAAATTTGAATGGATTCTAAAGTTGTACATTTTATGCTCCTATTTACATCTTTTTACCTTATTTCCAATGACAAATTATTGTAATTACTTTTACTAGTTGTCTTTTAATGCTAGCTTTATAAGTGATTAAATCATCACCTTTACAACATTAGATTTTTCTGAATTTTAATATACAGAATTTTAAAATCTGAATTTTTGGTCTGGCAGAAGTAACACCTGCATGAGTGTGGTTGGTAGGGTAATAATATGGGTGTAATAATTTGTCATTTTAATTTGAACATTTCACCTAAATTGTCATATGGTGCATTTAAGTGTGCTATTGTTATGTTATAGAATTACATGCTTATGATTTTGTAATAAAATATTTTGTAAGAAAAAAGGGTGTTATTTATACTGGACCCTGTATATTTACTTATACCAGTGAGATTTATACTTTAATGTTTTCCTATTACAAATTAATACCCTTTTGTTTAAGCTAAGGTAGTACCTTTAGTATTTCTATTAAGCCTGGTCTATTAGTCATGAACTTCTCTAGTTTTTACTTTTATGGAAATATCATTATTTCACATTTAGTTTTGAAGGATAACTTTGCTGGGTAGAGTATTCTAGGTTGAAAGTTTTCTTTTAAAAGTGTTTTATATATATCTTGCCACTTCTGTTGATATAGTAGGGGTTCCTTTGTTTATAACATACTGTTTTTTTCTTTTGCTTCTTTTAAGATTCTGTCCTTTAACTTTTGACTATTATAACATATCTTGTTGTGGTTCTCTTTCAGTACATTTTATTTGGAACTCTGGGTTTTCTGGATCTGGATGCCTATGCCCTTCCCATACTAGGGAAGTTTTCAGATAAGTTTTCTGCCCCTTTCACCCAGGGATCCCTATATTGCAAATATTGGGCCTTTTTGATGTTGTCCCACAAGTCCTTAATTGATCTTCTCTCTTCTTTATTCCTTGTTTTTACTTTGTGCTGCTCTGACTGGATGATGAGTGCCACTGCCTTGTCTTTGAGTTCATTGATTCTTTCTCCTGTTTCTTCTAGCTTGTTACCAGATTATTTCTTTATTGTATATTTTAGTACAGTTATTTTATTCTTCAATTCCATCATTTGTGTTCAGTACTTTCTTATATTTTCTGTTTGTTGAAATTCTCACTTTGTTCAGGAGTTGTTCTCCTGACCTTGGTGAGCATCCTTATTATAGTTATTTTGAACTATTCATCATGGGGAAAACTTTACTTGTTTGCTATTGCTACATTGCAAAATACCCCCAAACTTGGCAGTTTAAAACAATACACATTTATCATATACAATTTCTTTTTTTTAAGATTTTATTTGTATATTTTTAGACTGAGGGGAAGGGAGGGAGAAAGAGAGGAAGAGAAATATCAATGTGTGGTTGCCTCTCACACACCCCCTACTGGGGACCTGGCCTACAACCCAGGCATGTGCCCTGACTGGGAATCGAACAGTAAACCCTTTGGTTTGCAGGCCAATGCTCAGTCCACTAAGCCACACCAGCCAGGGCTATCATATACAATTTCTAAAGGTGAGGAATCTGGAAGTGGCTTAGACAAATAGGTGTAGTTCAGGATCTTTCACAAGATTACAGTCAAGCTGTTGGCAGGTGCAACAGTCATCCAACTTTCTCATGTGGTGGTTGATAGGCCTTGGTTTCTTTCAGCTGTTGAAATGGAAGTTTTAGTTCTTCACCACATAAGCTTCTCTGTAGGGCTACCTTCCTATGATATGGGAGCTAGATTCCTCAAAGTGAATGATCAAAGAGAGTCTAATATAGACACAGGAGTCTTTTTTTGAGCTAATCTTAGAATTAATACCACTTCCATTCCATTGGTTTATCCACTGATAAACAACCCTGGCACAATGCAGGCATCAACTGCACGTGTCATGACTATCTGAAAATAGGATCACTGGTGGTCATTTTGAATACTGGCTACTACAGAACTTGCAAATTTATTCTATAGTGACAGCACAGTTCTAACTCAAAAACTAAATGATAGCACAAGAAAGAGATATACAGGCTGATCTCACTGATGAAAATATATGCAATATTCCAAAAGAAAAATTATTTAAGAAGTGTTGTTCTTTAATTGTTCAGTACAGTTGTTCACCAGTGAATCTGTCTTGCCTTAGACTTTTCTTTGTTGAAGTTTTTGATTGCTGAATCAATCTCCTTACTTAGTAATCAGTCTGTTCAGATTTTCTTTTTTTCATGATTCAATCTTGGAAGATCGTATGTGTGTAGGAATATATCCATTCCAGTTGGTGCAAAATGCTGAAGTATAAATGTTAATAGTAATTTCTTTTGATCCTTTATATTTCTGTAGTTCAGTTGTAACATTTCTTTCCTTTCTGAGTTTACTTATAGGAGCTATCTTTTTTATTTCTAGCTAAAGGTTTGTCAGTATTTTCAAGAAACCTTTCCTTAGTTTTATTGGTCTTTCCTATTGCTTTTTGTCTCTATTTCTTTAATTTCTGCTTTGATTTTTGTCTTTTCCTTCCCTCTAGTTACTATGAACTTCATTCATTCTTCCTCTAGTTCTTTGAGGTGTAGCTAGGTTGTTTATTTGCAACTTTATTTGTTTCTTGAGGTATACGTTTATCACTGTCAACTCTTAGTATCTCTTAAAACTCTTTTTTTGCTGCATCCATAAGTTTTTGTATGTTATATTTTCCTTTTCATTTCTTTTCAGGGTATATTTGATTTCCCCTTTGTCAATCTTTTTGGAGTGATTGTTCAGTAGCATATTTTCAATTTTCACATATTTGTGAATTTTTCTGTTTTTGTCTTGTGATTTCTACTTTTATACCATGTGATCTAAAATATACTTGCTTTGATTTCAGCCTTCTTAAGTTAAGAGTTTTATTGTGACCACCTAACATGATCTATCCTGGAGAATGTTCCATGCTCACTTGAGAATAATATGTATTCTCTTGTGATTGGATGGAACCTTTTCCATATATCTGTTATGCCTGTATGACCTAATGTTGGTTCTGGCTGTTGTTTCCTTATTGATTTTCTGTCTGGATAATTCATCCATCGATGCAAATAGGGTATTAATGTCTGACACTATTATTGTACTTCTGTCTGTTTGATTCCTGTGGTCTGTTAACATTTACTTTATAGTAGGTGCTGTTATGTTGTAAATATTTACAAATGTTATGTTCTCCTATTGAATTGACCACTTTTTCATTATGCAACTCTCTTTTTTTCCTTTTACCACAATCTTTGTTTTAAAAGTTTACTTTTGTATGATATAATTATAGCTGCCCCAGTCCCTTCTGGTTTCATATATGTAAAATATATTTTGTCATATCTTCACTTTCAGATTGTTATTGTTTTTATACCTAGATGTAAATTGGCTTTGTTTTTAACCAATTTAACCTCTGTCTTTTGATGAGAGAAGTTTTTCCATTTACATTACAAGTAGTTGTTTCTAGGTATCTACTTATTGCCATTGTGTTTGCTTCCGACTGTTTTGTAATGACTTCATTCCTTTCTTCTTCTCTTGCT